AGCCACCTTTCTTTGCAAGGACACTCAAAAGCCTGCCATCCATGGATTCTGTCAGTGTTTTGATCTGTTCACCATCAACATTGCGTGCAGCAGCAACCACAGCCTCCCAGACACTGTTCAGAGAGGTGTACTGTTTTCCCTCCTTGTAAATCTCACATTTGATGATGGACCACAGGTTCTCAATGGGGTTCAGATCAGGTGAACAAGGAGGCCATGTCATTAGTTTTTCTTCTTTTATACCCTTTCTTGCCAGCCACGCTGTGGAGTACTTGGACTTAGTCTTTGAGGTGTTGAGTTGCAGGTGGTTTGTGTGACTCCATGCGACAAAGTTCCTCACCAGACTTCTGTACTCCTCTTCCTGATCATCCCAGATACACCCCCATGATGGCCGTGTCATCTGCAAACTTCTGAATAATATAGTGATGGGGACTACAACACACATTTGTAATCTGTCCTTAATTGGAACAAGTCCGAGTGGCTTTTGGAGAACTACTAACATATAGAAGTTTCTGTACTTTATGAAACATATAATGTGTTTGGTCACTGTGTGTTAGACAAAAAGATGGAAAGTACAGCTACTGCTGTGGTATTATCCCACATGTTTGTCTATAAATCAGTCCTCAACAATTCTTAAAAAGAAACCACTGTTTTCTTGAAACTTTTTAATTTTGTAAACGGAATAGATATCATTTCATCAACAGCATATACGTGTTATTGTGGATCTGATTTGAATGAATAATAATAATCGTTGATGAATTAAACACAACCCATGTTGTTTTAAAATCATGTGCGGCTCTAAACGGCTCATGGGCAGCACAGTGGTGGAGTGGTTCGCACTGTCGCCTTGCAGCATTCAGATTCCTGGTTGGAAACCCAACAGGGGCCTTTCTTTGTGGAGTTTAAAAGTTCTGTCCATGCTGGGTGGGTGGTGGTGGTGCTCTGGCTTCCATCTCTGATTAGATTAAGTGCTTAACATGTATAGAATAAAGTGCTCCATGAACATGTAGGTTAAATTATGTTACATGTATTCTTCACTGACCACATTAATGAGTTAAGAATTGTTATTTGCAAAATGCATGCGTGCATAATAGGGTTATCTTTATTGAGCTGAATTTTATCAACACCTTGCCTATGAATGTTTATGAAGTGTTAACAGTAGTTATTTCCCTTGTACTTTGTGAGGTACAGGAGTTTAAGAAAGTTTACATCACTGTCATTTGTTATTTTTAATGCGTATTGTAATACAAGGCATTATTTTATCCTTTGCTTCTTCTGTTATGTGACATTCTGTGCATTTTCTAGAGGTGGCAAAATAACCCCTCAAAACACTATTATTATTCTGACATTTGCTAAACCTAGAGTAATATTAGTTTATTTATATGTTTTAAAAAAGACTGAATTAATTGAACCAGTTATACTACTAATCTTCTGAAATTGAATATATTGATTTTATTTTTGGTTTGCTATGTTAATGTCCTTTGTTTTTAATTAGCAAAAAAGGAAAAACATGATCTTTGTATGATGTCAATCAGCTGAGTAAGATTTTTCTTTTTCAATCTCTGGCAGGTTGCTGTTTTGTAACTTACTATAGCCGCAAATCAGCCTTAGAAGCGCAGAATGCTCTGCACAACATGAAGATTCTGCCAGGGGTAGGTGATAGTCCTTGATTTGCCCTTTCATCACATGTGCAGTTCACATTGAAACCTTGAACTTGAATTTTTGGTTGTCCATCAGAAAAGTGGATAGAGATTAAGCATATTTTGTCTGTCTGAAAGGAAATTAAATCACTCATTTTGAGACATCAAAGGCTATTGATTTCTGTGACGTCTCTATTTTTTTCAGCAGTTGTCCACAGAGGTGCACTAAGCATTTACCCTCCAGATTCTTTGCATGGCAGTTGGTGTGATGTTCCCAATAATACTGGAGAAATAGAAAAGTAAAACTGCAGATTAGAGGAATTAAACGGCAAATTGACTAAGGAAGATAAAAAAAATATCAGTTCAAGAAAAAAACCTGTCTCCCCCTGTTTATCAGGATTGGTTCAGTTTAAATCGCAATCCTTATAATCATACTTTTTTCAATGAACTATGAAACTATTTTAAACCTACAAATTCACTAACAAGTGGCTAAGAAAGAATAAAAGGAGGGTTTAAAAGTGCTAAGTACATAAATAGCTATCCACTGTCAAATCTTAACTATTTTTCTTGATATTAAGATAGAGTTAGTGTTTGGGTCGGTCAGCTACGGGGCCTCCTCCGAGTGGGATATGCCCCGAACACCTCACCCAGGAGATGCTCAGGGGGTATGCTAATCAGATGCCCCAACCACCTTAACTGTCTTTTTTCGATCCTGAGGAGTAGTGGTTTTACTCTGAGCCCCTCTCGAATGACTCCTCTCCCTATCTCTACAGGAGAGCCCAGCCATTCTTTGAAGGAAACTAATTTCTGCTGTTGTATTTGCACAATCTCCCTCTTTTGGGCTTTACCCAAAGCTCGTGACAGTAGGAAGGTGAGGGTAGGTTACACAGACTGGCTGGTAAATTGAGAGCTTCCCTTTTACACTCGGCTCCCTCTTTGGCATGACCGACAGTGTCTGTATAAATGCAGATGCTTCCACAGGTCCATCTCTGTCTCTCACTCTCCTCTCACTTGTAAACACAACCCAGAGATAAACTCCTCCACTTCAGGCAGCAACTCATCCCTGACCCGGACTGAGCACTTCACTCTTTTGCTGCTGAGGACCATGGCCTTTGATTTTGAGGTGCGGATTTTTATTCCCGCAAATTCACACTGGGAACCACTCTAGTGCTTGTTGGAGGGCCTCGGGGTACTGGTCGTTTGGTACTGGGCCGCGAGAGTTGAGGCTCAGGTGTGAAATGTATGGTTTTCAGGGTTTTTATCGGTTTTCAGCGTTATTTTGTTATCGTTTTTATCGTTAACTCGGTTTTCCTGGGTCTTTTCACGTGTGTTATGAATAAATCTTCTTTTTTTCGGTGCCACTAGTTTTATTTTGTTGTATTTATCCGCGACACCTTAAAGGCCGGTCCGTGAAAATATTGTCGGGCATAAACCGGTCCGTGGAGCAAAAAAGGTTGGAGACCGCTGTCTTAGAGGATAAAGAGCTAGTCCAGTGTTCCGCGACCAAGACGAAAACCGCATTGTCCCTCCTCTATCCGAGGTTCCACTAATGGACCAACTGCACCCTGCCATTTACCTTCTGAGGAGTACAATCCCCCCTCCGTGTGATGTTGCAGAAAGACTTTCCACTTAAAATGCAGTATTTCAAAAACAATCTAAGAAAAATGTCAATGCTTGATCAATAGTGAAAGTGTCACTCAGTTTTGTTTTTAAATTAATGAAAATTTTTTTTTAAAAAAAAGCAGGTCTTTTAACATAAAAATGCAGCATAAACATGCACTTCCTTATTTTAAACAATCCTTGTCTATTTATTTTATTTTCTGTTCTTCTGTAAGAAGTAGTGTAGTGACAGTGCCCCCTACTGTAGAGAAAACTTGGTACAGATCGCAGCAGCCAGCTGATGCAAAAGGAGCTGATCTGTAGGCAAACATGTAATTCAGGACTTGTTGGGACAATACAATAGGACGTTGCCATGTCATATCTTAGTAAATAACTGCACTGAAGATGTTTCATGTGTCTTAAAGGAAAATATACCATTTGTCGATATTATCTATGTATGTATATGTATCTATGTAAAAGAGAAAGGTTTTTCTGTTTGTGGAGCTTTTCAGGTATCTGTAGTCAAATGGGATCCAAACATCTCTAACAAGCACACAATAGTAATTTTACATAACTTGGCACATGAAACCAACATATTCGTTTCTGTATCTCTACATGTTGTGTATTTTATGAAATAATATCTATATTTACTGTCTTGCTCAGATGCACCATCCAATCCAGATGAAGCCCGCTGATAGTGAGAAAAACAATGGTAAGGATTTTGTAGCATAAGTACCTGCTAATAAACATACTTTTATGCATGTTGAATGTTGCAGGGCACCATAATTCTTGATATAATGCACAGAAGTTTAATGTTGTGTTATGTTTAATACAGCAGTGGAGGACAGAAAACTGTTTATTGGAATGATCTCCAAGAAGTGTAACGAGAATGATATCCGACTGATGTTTTCGCCATATGGACAGATAGAGGAGTGCCGGATACTCAGAGGCCCTGATGGACTTAGCCGTGGTAAGACTTATTTGTGATAAGGTTTAGCTTTCCAGCGTTTGCTATTCTTTTGCCAGGCTTATACACAATTACAGGTTGAAGTGTGATATTGTGTCTTGTCTGTCTGCAGCTTTGTTATATGGCTGAAAATGACTAAGTCCAGTAGTCATCTTTTGTAATAGTTTATGGTAAGTAGGGCTGCCACAAACGATTATTTTGATAGTCGACTAGCCACCGATTATTTTTGCGATTAGTCGACTAATCAGATCATCATCCATTGGACGTAAAACGTACAGCATATTGCACCAGCAGCATCTGCTCTTATATAACTATCATTAGCTTACAGCTTTAAGTGTGTAAGGTATGTGCTAACTAAAAATAAAGGCAAGATGACAGTTTATTAAAGTTTAATGAAATGTGCAGATTGTTTCGGTGAAGTTTAATAAACTCCTTGCTATCTAAACTATAACAGGACACCGGAGTAAATTCTCGAGCATCTCACACTTCTGATGATCAGCTGTCTGCTTGACGTTTATTCAGCTGTGTAAAAACTATAACTTTAATCTCAGCCAAACCGATTTACTCAGGAACAAATAAAATACTGAAAAAAGCCAAACAATAACATTTTTAAGTTATCTAAGTGACTTATATATCATGTTTAACCTGAGTAGTGAAAGACAGCGGTGGGTTTGAAAACGATCTGCCGGGAGTCCGGTGTTCTCACGGCGCTAGTGAGCTTGCCCCCGGCTAGCTATCGAGCTAGTGGGTAACAGACGTCTCCGAAAACGTCGGAGCGCTTTTGAAAATATGCGGTGTCTTGATAAACTGAGCAGATATTTGAGGTTTACACAGCTACATTCAAGCCTGAAAATATGTAAAACGTTTATTTTGTGACCCAGAAAGAATAATAAGAGTAATATTAAAACTAACTAGCTGCCGCCATTGTTGGAAACTGAGCTGGGCTGCGCTATGAATTCTGGGACACAGCTACTTCTTCTTCGGGGTTTAACGGCAGCTGGCATCCTTGTACATGCAGTGCTGCCATCTTCTGTTTCAGTCCGTTATTACACTCTTAAATCCTGCTACTTATTCCTGCGTCTTTTGGGATCTTACAAAGCTTCAAACGACGCGTCGACGATTTTAATAGTCGACCTAATCTTGACTAGTCGACTAATCGTGGCAGCCCTAATGGTAAGTAAACTAAAGAATTGTAAATTAAAACTCAGCGATCCCCAATGAGCAAGCACTTGCAGTATGGAGCAGAATAAAAACTCCCCTTTAACGTGTAAAAACCTCTGGCCTGACCAGGCTCAGGGAGCGAAAGCTGTTTTCTTAGGCCAGATTAGAGAAGGAAAGACAGAAGACTGTCCTGATAACAAAAATTAAACAGGACATAGCACAGATTATGAACCAGGAGCATAACCAAGAAAACTGTTCAAGATCTAATGCTCTACTGAATGCTTTATTAAAAAGGAAAGTGCATGCAGAACTAGGGGTAGGCGATGTATTAGATATACTTTATGTATTGCGAGTTTTGGTTTGGTTAAAATGGTTCTTTTGCAACCATAAACTATAAATTCCCATGGCAATATTAAGCTATGTGCATGTAATTCACTGTTTTGTTTTGTGATTTAACAAGGAGGATGCCAAACAAAATGCAGTAATTTGCCGTAAAACATGCCATTAACCTATTGCCACAAAGGGTAGCATTGCCATAAATTTATTCCACCAGCTGAAAAGTCATCCACTGGGGGTGGCTGTAGTTCAGGAGGTAGGTAGGTCGCCTACTGATCGGAAGGTTAGTGGTTCGATTCCTGGCTCGTCCAGTCTGCGTGTCAAGTATCCTTGGGCAAGATACTAACCCCAAGTTGCTCTCCGATGCATCCATCGGAATGTGAATGTAGTTCGTAAGCACTCTGTTTAGAAGTGCTTGTGCCAATGGGTGTGATTGGGTGAATGTGGCATGTTGTATAGAGCGCTTCTAGTACTCTGGGAGAGTTGAAACGCGCTATATAGGAATCAGTCTAGTCCATTTATCCTTCAACTGCAAAATGAAGAATGTTTTAAACTTTGCATGTCAACATCTCCCTACACACCAAAGAAAATATTGAATAAACCAGCTGTGATACCTGTGACTGCTCTTGGTCAGTCGCTTTTAGTCACTATCTAGACTTTTGTTTCTGTAATATGAGGTCATTGCATTTTTAATTTTACTGTTTTTATATGTTATAAGCACAAAAAAGAGCCTTTCTAATTTCACTCGTTTTATTTTGTCTTGCGAATTCTTGCTTGATGTACTTTCTTGTTGTTATGATCTTCAGTTTGTTGAAGCTCTAATGTTGACCACAGAAAGAGTTACTGTCACAGTATTGTCATTTGGAAAAAACTTCTATGTACAACTGAGGATTAAAAAATGATTGAAATAAAACATGTCAATTCATTCAGATTTATTGTATTCAAAGTAGAAAAAAATATTGAATGGTCGATTTGAATGAGTATACCAGTGCAATTTTATTCACTATACGGTTGAAAATAACATGTTTTTGGAAGTTATTTAAACACTTCATGATATATATCTTGAATCGCAATAAAAAATGCAAAAATATTACAATATTAGATTTTCCTGATATCACCCAGGCCTTTGCTGAATTTAAATTGCGAGGTGATTCCACAGAGCAGAATCTCTATTCTGTTTTAGGCATATCTAGGAAGCACAAATAAGCCTGGACTACATAATGCTTTCTACAGAATAGTCTGGTACTAATAGCTATAGGACCTGATCTTTCAGGACTTTTTTTGGGCCTAAGCAAGACGTATACCGTATTTTTCGGACCATAAGGCGCACTGCCGATGAATGGGGCTGTTTTCATACATAAGGTGCACGGGATTATAAGGTACATTAAGTGAAACAAAACGGACAGATAAGTCAAACTTTACTCAACTCATTCCTCTTGCTTCCTCCACTTCCATAACATTGATTCATTAATGTTGAATTCTCTCGCAGCTGCTCTATTCCCATGTCGTTGCAGTATAATAATGACTAACCTCGTATTGTGGATGAATTCTCAGTTTTTCTCCTGACCGAAGTTTGGTCCGTTTACAGCATCCAGCCATGCGATTAAAGTTGTCCAGCTATGGTTGTGCCATCAGTTAACCCTGATGGCACGCGTGCCCAGGGTTGTCAACCCCTGATTTACACCGTTTTTAACTCTCAGTGATCCCGTACTATTGTTTGACTTTGGGATCTAAAGTGAAAGGAGTTTTGGACCCAGATAACTCCGTGAGGCTCTTGACTACGGTAGCCGCAATCCTACGACAATCTAAGTGGTGTGGCTTCGTAGCTTACCAAAGTCATATTAAGTCAGTGGACCTATTCGGTGGCTGCTCCCCACAATCTTGATAGAAAAACACCGAAACTCGTTAACAGACAATTCAACTGGGCAAGACAAAGCTGGTGGCGGAATAAGGCAAAGGGAACTCAAAATGCCAAAGGGACAGGATAAAGCCACTTCCTAATGCTAGCATCGTGACAGGACAAGCTAGCATGAGCCCCGTTAGCATAGCTAGCAATTCAGCTGGTGAGCTACTAAAGGGTATCGAATCATTGAAATCAGAAATCAAACAAGATAATGAAGGTCTGAGAAGACATAGAAGACATGACACTGGAGCTAACCGAAGCGCTCTTCCAAAGCCTAAAAGCACAGAAATTGATCCGAAACAAGCTGGCAGATCTAGAATCAAAACCATCATTTAAAAGGGGTTACAGTTTCTAAAGTTGAACAATGAATAGGTCTCTTTGGTGATGATATAATAATATACTTACAGGATGCTGACACGACCTTTCCTCAATTGATTAAAGTATTTAAACATTTTGGTAAAAAATGAGGGTATAAACTAAACATCTTAAACTCACGTATGAATGTGTGTGTGAATGGGTGGATGACTGGATATGTAAAGCGCTTTGGGGTCCTTAGGGACTAGTAAAGCGCTATATAAATACAGGCCATTTACCATTTACCATTTGTATGAACTATTCCCCCAGAGATTCAATTCAAAAGAAATATAAACTAAAATGGGACTCAAATAAGATCAAATATTTAGGTGTCTATCTAATCTGTGAATTAGGCACATTATATGAGGCAAATTATGGCAAGAATAGCAACGCGATTCAAAAAGATTTGACTAAATGGGCACCACTTGTCATGGATCTCCAGTCTATATACCAGACGTACAATTTGGCAAAAGTGATAAACTAGTGAGCAGATTTATTTGGAAAGCGACAAAGCCAAGAGTAAGATTTAAAACCCTCCTCCTCTTTCTTTTCCTAGTTGGACTCGCCCTCATGAATTTCAAGGAATACTTATATGCAGCCCAGCTGAGATATATTGTATACTGGTGCTCACCGGACTACACCTCAAAATGGAAACATATTGAGATAAATTATTGTTCATCATGTCAACCACAAGCAAGATTGGGAGAAGAAACTATACAGTCTACACATGCAAATCCTATTACTGAATTCACTATTAAACTCTGGTGGGTTATAGTGACGAAGTGTAGAATTGAAGAAGACTGCAAACTGTTGGTTTGGCCTGCATATTCTCAAAAATTCCTAAGTGGCTAATGGGATAGTACATTTTTAGGATGGATTAATAAAGGAATTACGGCAATGTGCACATTAATAGATGGGAAAATATTCAAATATTTCGACAAACTACACAGACAGTTTGGACTGGATAAATCAGACTTGTTTCCAATTAAGACACTTTTATAATACAGGAATCAGGAGGAAGGCCCTGAGGGAAGGTAGCCAGATAACAGAAATAATATCAGGTGCGTATAAAAATCTTCCATCAAAAATTGTATCAAAATTATATAATGGTCTGCGAAATTTGAATAGGAATGAAACATTATATATTAAACAAAAGTGGGGATTTGAATTACATCTTAAATTGTCAGAGGATGATTGGGGATTCACATGACTCTCACAGCATAATTCCACTAGCTCTAGACAATGGAGA